TTTGTTTGTTTGTTTGTTTGTTTGTTTGTTTGTTTGTTTGTTTGTTTGTTTGTTTGTTTGTTTGTTTGTTTGTTTGTTTGTTTGTTTGTTTGTTTGTTTGTTTGTTTGTTTGTTTGTTTGTTTGTTTGTTTGTTTGTTTGTTTGTTTGTTTGTTTGTTTGTTTGTTTGTTTGTTTGTTTGTTTGTTTGTTTGTTTGTTTGTTTGTTTGTTTGTTTGTTTGTTTGTTTGTTTGTTTGTTTGTTTGTTTGTTTGTTTATCATTAGGACATAGAACCTGTTGTTAATTTATTTGAATCCCACCACTGCTAAAATGAAAGAAATACTAAAGTCTTCCCCCTACGCAGTCTCACCCAGTTCCCCATGGTGACTGGGGGAGGGGGAGGGGAGAGACTTTCCCTGGGATTCCATCCATTTGAAGTTTTGCTGGTCAATGACCGTAATAAAACATTTCATTTCATTCATTTGAAGAGGTGGGCAAGTCTTTCTTTTCCACATTGCAGTCTTGGCACTCACTGCTGTTCCAAGGGAGGAAAACAACAACTTTTCCTTCCTTTGAAGGAGTATTAGCTCAAGAAGTGCCTTTGATACAGATGCTTTGAGGCTTTCATTAGTTGCTGCTACTTCTCTCCATATGTTATTGGGTGCCATGCTTGCCAGGTAACTGGTTTTGTTGAAAGGGATTGGCTTCAGGCCTCCAGTCGGGACTCTATAGCTTTCATTGAGTGCTCCATCTACCTGTTTTGCATGGACTATACTATACCGAGGGACGTGGTGGCGCTGCGGGTTAAACCGCTGAAGCCTCTGTGCTGCAAGGTCAGAAGACCTGCAGTCGTAAGATCGAATCCACGCGAGGGAGTGAGCTCCCGTCGCTTCTCCCAGCTCCTGCCAACCTAGCAGTTCAAAAGCATGCAAAATGCAAAAATGTGAGTAGATAAATAGGTACCACCTCGGTGGGAAGGTAAACGGCATTCTGTGTCTACTCACGCTGTCCATGTGACCACGGAAGATTGTCTGCGGACAAACACTAGCTCTGTGGGTTGGAAATGGAGATGAGCACCACCCCCTAGAGTCGGACACAACTGGAAAAAATTGTCAAGGGGAACCTTTACCTTTATACTCTACTGGGCTGCCATATTCACCCGCCAATTAACACGGGGGGGGGGGCAGAGCTTAGTGATTCTTAGTGTTTGCGGTCCTGTGTCCCAACTGATTCCTGATCGCTTTCAAAGAACATTGTTTCTCTTGGGGATCGTCTGCTCTGTGTTTTGGCAGTGTTTTGTTTTCGGTCCATGTAGGGTCCAGAGTAACTTCTAGTTATTTGCAGGCAAAACAATAGTCTAGTAGGGACAGGCCTTTTGAAACAACTTGGAAACCTGGTTTTCAAAAGGCCTGCTCATTTCTCAGATGGCAGGTGGATATTTGAGCCTATGCAGGGTTGAGTTTCAATTGATTTTCATCATAAGATGTGCCAAGTTCTTCTCATGCATCTGTTGGGAGATATTCTATCATCTGAAAGCTACCCCGCTGAGCAGCATGGGAGAGACCATTAGCCCTGCCCCGTAGTGTTGATGTGGTGTGGCCAATAGGGTGCTGACAAGAATAGAAAAGATCTGGGTTCCAATCCTGTCTGGGTTAGGAATAACCCTAACTCTAACTCAACTGCAAGATGGCAGTGGTAAAGCACTCCTTTGAACAGCTCATATACTTTGAAAACTTTTTTTTTTTTAGAGTTTTGGTTATCAGTTTTAATATTTCTATTTTCATTTGTGTTTTCTCTTTTATGAGAACACCCACCCAGAGTAGTGCTACCACACCAATGGAAGCGGGATACAAATTGAATGAATGAATGAATGAATGAATGAATGAATGAATGCATGCATGCATGCATGCATGCATGCATACATACATACATACATACATACATACATACATACATACATACAT